ATATACTTTATGAAAATTTATATCATCCTTTCTTACATGTTTGATAACTTCATTGTTTACTATATATATTACTTCCTTTGTTTTAAATTAATGAAATATATAGTTTATAAATATATAGTTTATAAAATGAATTATGATAGTTTATATTGAAGTTATATATAATACTAGTTTGTTAACTAGAAATTTATTGTCATTCTACATATAGGTAGTNTATATAATGTATAACATATTATTATATTTTTTGTAATTTTTTTTTAATTTGAATAGAGAATATTACATAGTAATTTAATTATACCATAATTACATATAATTTTTTTTCATTAATATAATATTATGTTAATGGAAACAAAAATATTTCATTAAAAAAAAGAGTAGTAAATATATGCAAAATACTCATTTTATATATTTATATATTTACATATTTTTATACTCATTTTATGTGATCAACATATATGTTTGATTAAGAAGTTTAATATAGATATGTTATTGTGAAAAATATTTATTTCTTTATAATTCAATTTTTTATATTGCATATATATTATTATATTTTATGTTTAAAATAAAATAAAAAATATGTTTTATTTTTTTCTCCTTTTTTTTTTTACACAGTAAATCTTATAAAATATCATATCACATTTCATATATAATAAGTATGTTTGATATTAATATTTATTTAAGTTGAATAAATATTTTTTCTATTTATATAAGTATAATTATATATAATATTATTATATATATGTAACATTGTTCGTGCATTACTGATGTTTTACTTCCTTTATTATCCAAAAAAAAAAAAAAAATAAAGATAATATTATCGTAAATAATAATAATTTTGAATTATTATATTATATTATATTATAAATTATTATAAATTATTATAAATTTGTAATTATTAAAAAAATTTATTTTGATTTTTCATTATACTTATATAATTATAATATGTTATAATAATTTAAATTATAATACTTATATAATATTTATATTATATAATTATACTTATATAAATAGAAAAAATATTTAAAATTGTATAAATATATATTATATTTAAAAACTATTACTTTATAATATTCTTGTTTTATTCAAAAAAATATATGCACGTGTTTGTGAAAATATATTGATGACATTTATTTAATTTATTTACACAAATTATATTTATTGGAATTAAATTTGTAAAATTTATTATTAATTTTTAATTATTAATTTTCATCAATTTATTCTAATGCTATATCGAAAGAAAAATTTAACTTAGAATTTAATTTTTAAATTTATTATTGTTATAAATTTTAAATGAAATGTTAATCATAGGAAAAACTATTTTATTATATATAATATATTATATAATATATATAATATATTATATTTTTTTTATATAATATATAATATATTATATAATATATTTAATATAATATATTATATTTTTATTTTTATTCATAATATATGCTATCATATTTGGCAGAAGAAACTTCGGACTAAAATGTAAAAATAATTAATTTTGCTTGTGTTTGATCAAAAGAAAAGAACAATTCTATTGAAGATGTCTAGTATGAAATAAATCTCGGCTTGCGGTACTTTAATATCCATAAGAATCTATTATTATATTGAAGAGATATATAATAATAAAAATCCATTATTATTATATTTGAATGTGTTAGCTTCCGTTTGGTATCACTTACTTTGGATCACTTACTTTCTTCAAATATCATGTATATCGAGAATATTATCAAAAGATTTTCAAGTTCTTTTTCTGAAATTTTATCATTATTTTTCAATCATTATACAAAATAAATTATAAAATTATAAATTATAAAATTAAAATATGTAATAAATTTTCATTTTCAATATTACATTTAAAAAATTGTTTTACATTCTAATTATGTATTACTTCTTCAATTATAAATAATATATATCTTAAAGAAAAAATATTCGAAATATTTATTAAAATAATTTTGCTGAAATATTCGAATATTTATTTTGCATCATAGTAATAAATATTTCTATAAAAGGTATTTATTTGAAATGTATATAGATACATATTTTATATACTTAAAAACTTACATTATTTCAAATATTATTTTTATGATTATTATTTAATAAGGAAAATAAAAAAGAAGAGAAGAAATTGTAGAAAATTATAAAATAAAAAAACAAAAACATATTTATTATTATCATTATTTATTATTATTATTATTATTATTATTATTATTATTATTATTATTATTATTATTATTATTATTATTATTATTTTCGAGTTATAAACTGCTTATATTTTTTAATTGATAAATGAGTTTAAACGAATATTAATCTATCATTTATGATATATAATATAAATTTTAAAATATAATTTTTTTATTTGATGAATAGAATTTCATGAAAATAATATTCATTCTGCATAAAATAAAAAAAATATTCATTCAAATTAATAATTATTTCAAAATTAAAAATTATGTAAGGAATCTTTTTTATTTATAAAATCAAATAAATATTTTAAATAGTATTTTATTTATTTTAAAAATTATTATTTTAAATTTTTCACAATACGGGTCAATGAAATATTTTTATACAAATATTTTTATTTTTTATTTTAAATACTAGTCACCTGCATAAATCATATATATATATATTAATAAAAAGTTTAGATAGATAATATTGCAATTTTATTAGATATTTACATTCGTTGAACCTTATTTGTTAACAATATGAAATATCGACAATAACCACAGGTGCTTCAACGAGCCTTCGAAATATTTGATGAAGGTCGCCTTGTTTGTATGTTTCGGAATAAAAGTTTCAACAAAACAATTGTTAGATGCGTAGACCCGATTTCACAAGCATTATGCAACAGATACATATAAAAATAACTTTATATTGCATGGAAATAATATTTTTTTCGGATATTCGTTTAAAAGAATTACAAAGCAAAGACGAATTTCTTCATGATTAACGAAATGATCATTCCTAAATAATAGAAATATGTATGATGCAATATAGATATAGAACATATGATTTTAAAACATTTTGATAATTTTTAAATTTTATCACAAAATCTACTGTCTGGAATAATGTTTGGCAAAAGAATTTTTCGTAAAACGATAATAAACACATGATAATATTTAAGTTTAAATAAAAGATGTAGAAATGAAAATATAAAAAAAAAAAATAAAAATTTCCATTCATTTCGTGGAAAGTTATTCTTATTTAAGTATTGATTCGTTTTTATTTCATTTTTTGAACAAATTGAAATTACGAATAAAATATTACAAAAGAATGTATCAAAAAAGAATAAAAATTAAGTATACATAATCACTTTTCATGATAGATTATGTATACTTAATTTTTATCCTTTTTTATATATATCATTTTTCATGATAGATATGAGTAAAAATAAATTAAAATAAATATATTGTTATCATAATTGATTATTTTATCTCACAATCGCAATTTAGCATAATGCAATAAGATTTGATTAAATATTTCATTCTTTAAAAAAAAATTAACGTTTATTAGAAACTTATTATTAAAAATTTATATTATAGAAAGATTGTTGATTAAGATTTTAAATTTGCATTAATATTTTAAATGTTTTTGTATTGTATTCTTTTTAATGAAAAAATATATAGTAATATCATATATTCAAACAATTTAAAAAATATTATTTAATATTACAATTTAAAAATATAATTTTTATAAAATATTTTTGTGATATTGTGTATTATTATTAGAAAATGCAATTTTTATAAAATTCAACTGTTTTTATTTCAAATTTTTAACATATTTTATAATATAAATTATTGTAAATAGTTTATTTACAATAAAATTGACAGTAAAATTGACAGTATTTAGAATATTTTTTTTGTTAATTTTTATCGAATTATTTGCTTAATTTAATATTTAATAAATTTTTATATTATTTATTGATATTAATTTTTACAATTTTTTACAATTTTAATTTTAACAAGTATCAAAATAAATTAATAAAAAAAATTTATGTTGCAAAATATAATTAAAAATTTTAATGTTGAAAGTCAAATTTTTAATAAATTTTATTAATAATTTTATATATAATTACATATTTTTATTAACAATTATTATTATTAATATATAATTATATAACATATAATATATATAATTAATATATATTATTTATACAATTAATTATAATATTAATTATGTATTATATATATTATAGTTATTTATTTTCTTTCTTTCTATATATATTTATTTACTTTCTTTTCTATTTTTCAAATATAAGTTTAAAAAAAAAATAATGAAACATTATATGTAATTTTCTATTATATAATTTCATATTTATATATAACATATATATAAGAATTTTTATATAATTTATATAATTTTATATTTTAAAATGTAATAATAAGATTATAATGTTTTAAATATAAATGCTACATATAAACAAAAGTTAATTATTTAATATATATTTCCGAATAATAAATTAATTTTTTAATATTATAAAAATATTAATTAGCAAAAATACTATTTTTCTATAAAATTTCTAATAATAAAATAATTAATTTATGAAATAATTTTGTTTGATTATTTCAAATTATTTCTATGAATATTAAAAATGAAAAATTTTATGGATAAATTTTTACAAATAATTATTAACAAAAATTTTTCACTTTTATTTTTTTGGTATTATTTATACTACAATATTTAAATATAATTTAATATAATAACATAATATAGAGTTTAGAATATAATAATCATATGTATATTTATAAAAGAAAATAAAAAGGAATTATGATTAATGATTTATTATTTATTTGAATTTAGATTGAATGATATGTATTTAATATACAATTAAATTCTTAACGTTATTTCAAGTAAGCAAACATGTAAAGCTTTTACATTATTTTTGAATTTAAATTCATGCTATTCCGATTGATTAACGTAATCTATAGATGTCGCTAGTATAGACTTGAACATCAAAATTTTTACGAGTTTCTCTCCTGTACATGATGCTACTGTGGTAATGGACCGTCATCTTTACCGCTCAGAGATGATTCTCTACCTACACAGATTGTGGAATAGCCATTAAAATGTTATCGGAATAGCGCGCGTTGCGAACTAGCTTACGAGTCAACCAATCGAGAACTGTTTGTGAGTCGGTGGGTACGTTTCCACGGAATGTGAGCAACCGTTGAACGAAGTGACGATACATACACATGTATATTTCGTCGCGATAGTCGTCATCGTCGACGTCGGCGTTGATTGTGTGCCGATCTCGATTGTAGCGAATTGAAAGCAAACTGATTTGCCGATAGAAATAAAGCATACATACAAAAAATAAAGTAAAAAATAAATTTCTCTCGTAACCGAACCTTATTTAAAAACAAAATAGCTTCATTAGATAGTGACATCGTTATCCTTTATTCTGGTATTTATAGATTCGAAATTGATGCATTCAACATTTTCTGAATGTGAAAGAAACAATTTGAAATAGGTAACGAAAAAGACACATTTCTTCGTTGCTGCACGCGCGGGCTTTTTTCCGGGTGTACAATTTATATGCGTGTGAGTGCGCCATAGATATCTTATATATTGTATATAGGAGGAAGAGAGAACGACATAGAAAATCAGCTACAAACGAGAGTGATAGGACTAGTTCAAAGGAAACGAGAAAGCTTCGATAGTGAAACGGAGTGAGAACGAGAGCGTTAAGCAGGGTGAGTGAGGAGAAGGAAGGAATCTCCGTCAAAATGTCGCTGAAAACACCAACGCGGATAGAGTGATTGCTTTTCGTCATTTAATAGGGGGTATGTGATCTTTTTCGATTTTCATCAATTTTTTTTTGACATTTTTACTGTGATCTTTTTCATTATTTTACGTCCAGAAATGTACACAGTTTCTTCGATTCTTTCATTGAAAGACAAGAAAGTCATAGGTGCATCGATTGCGCACGGTCACCCGGTTTCTCTCTGTTTGTTTCCATCGGGCTTTGTACAACTTTGTCGTGACTGTGTGCATAATACGCAACGGCCATCTCGTTACAGTAGTGGGCAAAGATATTTCATATTTATGCTTATCTACTTATATTTCTTATATTTTTCATTTCTTGGTCACTATATATAATCGACCAAGATATTTGGCGATCGTACTAATAACGCCGATGCACTAGGTATTCGTCGTTACTAAATTAGTCGTTAATTGTCGTTAAGGTATTTCTTTTTAAATTTGTTAATTTAATTTCTCTCAGAGAAATTTCCAGTCTGAAATGTCGGAAATTTTAGTTCCCGTTTTGCTCCAACTTTTTTGCTGATTTTTTGCTTGCAATATTGTTAATATTCGTTGTTTTTCGTCCTTTGAGAATCGATGAAACATAACTGAGACATTGAACATCCTCGTAGATGTACAGTACAAATCTTTTTGTTGCTATTCTATCGATATTTCATCATAATGAAATTTTGCGAGTTTCTTTTATACAATTTTTCTTAATGAATTAATTTCTTGTTTTTTAAAATATATATTTCATATTTTGGAAAAATATGAAATTGTGAAAAATTTCGTTATATTATTGAAATAAAATTTCTTTTTTCTTTTATTACATTTTCTTTAATATAATTCCAACTAATAATTTTTTAATAAACTTAAAAAATTTTATATAAGAATAAATTCTAATTTTTCTTTAATAATTTTCCAATAATAACTATATGCAATATGTTTGAAGAATTTATGTGTATATATCATTATTTTAAATAAAATTAAATAATGAAATTTTAAGTAATGAATAATTTTTCTAATTTTATGATTTGTTTTAAATTTGATCTTATAGATGCAGTTTAATTTTTTAAATAAATATAGCTTACTTGTATACTTGTATAGCTTATAATATTATTAATTATATATTATATATTATATATTATATATTATGGATAAACTATTTTCAACTAAATTTAATTAATAAATTTTTTTTTATCTTTCATAATTATGTATTTATTTATACAATATTTTCTTTATACAGCATATTATAATTATCATATTTTTTATTTATAGTGGATTGTGTTTTTAGGTTTTGGTAAAGTTAATTATTTAATAGTACCAAAATTATGGTGTCAACTCGCCAGTCAAGTAGTATGAGTGGAAGCAATGGTGGTGGGCCAGCTGCCGATGTTACAGATGTGAATTCTAGAAGACATCAATCTGTAGCAATGACTAACTCTTACAACGGAGCATCTGTTTCAGAGCCACCACCTTATAGTAATTTAAATCTTCTTGACTTACCAGTTGAAATTCTTGAAAAAATTTTCAGCTATTTGGATTATAATACAGTGGCCCATTTACGTCCAGTAAGTCAAAATTATAGAAATGAAACATTTATATTCTTATTTTACATTTATAAGAGAAAATATATTTCTGTTTGTTTATTTTTTTTTGTAGGTTTGTCATCAGATGGATCGTGTTTGTGGATCAATTTTGAATTCTACATTTCAAAAACTTCAAGCACAAATGTTGAGTCGTTTTCAGGCAATTAAAGCACAAATGCCAAGACGTGAATCTGCACGTCGTAATCATCCATTAGCTTGTGAATCAGATATTATTGAAACTCTTCATATGCGTCTTACTTTACTCCAGATGAGTTTTGGCAAACATATTGAACGTAAACATTGTTGTTTTTTTCCTGGAGAGGTAAGTATTTCTTATCTGCTCTATAAAGTTAAAAATATATGTTATATAAATATATATGAATTACAATTTCTAATTATATTTCAGATTTTAGATGAAGTTTATCGTATTTTACATTACATAAAAGTTACTCCAAAATTAGCTAGACCATATAAAGTTACAGATGAGTTATTTGATTTAAGTACTATGGCTATGGAATATTTTAAAGAACGCATTGAACCAACATTACCAGAAATCCCTTATTTTGGAGCTGATTTTTTAGATCTTGCTGGGACATTTTCCTGTGAGCAAAAAATTAAAGTTTTAATTATTTTTAAAAATATTAATTTATTATTTTATAATATAATTTTTGAGTATAATTTATTAAAATATTATAGCTTCTAGTAATGTGAGCAAGCCATTTATGTGCCTGGATTCTACACCTTTAACTGGAACTGGTAAATCAGGAAACAATAGTGGAGAAGAAGGAACTCCTCCACACTCTTCAGATGATCCTGGTCTTTTAGAATCTAATGTATCACCTCCACAATCAAATATGGTGTTACGAAAACGAATCCGTAAAATTAAACAAGGCATGAAGCGATATAATAGTCAGTTAACATTAATGCGTAGAGATTTGAGGAGTTGCAAAGCAAAGATAGCAGAACAACAAAAACAGATTATTGAATATGCTACACGTCTTGATGAAAACGATAAGAAGAATGAAGAAACTTCTCGTAAATTTAGCACACTCCTACAGGTATTTACTAAGGTACACTTAGTACTTGTAAAAGTAATGTATGATAGAAAAAATATAAATAAGATATATCAAATATTGTAGAAATATAAATTTAACATGTAAAGATTTCAAAATTAAAATAAATTTAAAATTAGAAAGATTAAATTTTTAACAATTTATATATTTTTTATATTATATTTTTTTATGTTATGATTATATATTGTATAGGAATTGAACAAGTGTAAAACAGAACTTCAGTATTGGCGATCTAAATCTCCGGCAATACCAGTGTGTGTAGTCTGTGGTCAATCTGTATTAGTACCAACAGAGGATCTGCAAGCTTTAACGAATCAAGGCGTATTACCGGAAACACTTGATGAAGGATTAGACTTCATTCCTATAGCGGATGCACAAAGTCTTACTGAAGTGGCACCTCAATCCACAATTACACAACAACCTTCATCGCCACCACCACTACCACCACCACAACCACCAGCACCAACAGTGGAAATGGCACCTCCAAAGGCACCTATGCCTTCATTACTTTCAAAACGGAAATCTACTATGGAGGAAGCACCGAGCGACGCTGGAAAGAAACCTCGTCGTGCTGCCAAGTCACGTCAGGTTAAACGCTCGAAGATATAATTCGATTCTGATCATGGTACAAAAATATCTGTGTAACATCTTTACTAGGTTCTTGAAAGAAGGTTTTCTATTTGAAATAACGTGTTTCTTTACGCCAGCGAACGAATGATCTTAGAAAAGTACAAAATTCTTTCTTGAACGTCCTACATTTCGCGCAACGAACCTCATTTTGAAAAATTCTAGCCATGGTTATCGCGCGAAAGGAATTGACGCGATTGATTTTCCTATTTTATTACGGACGGATTTGTCACACATAGTGGCGTCTACAAATATTCTAAATGATAGCTGATCATTCGTGTCGTTCGTAAAGCAACAAAAGAACTACTTTTTTCAAACCTTTTTTAATTATTATTTTCATAATAGTATACAAGGAGAACAGAAGGATTGAATTTTATATAAAATGTTTATTTTACAACAATATCGTGTTAATAGAACAAATAAACATCATATGGTGATGTTTGACTAACAAAGCAATAATTCACCTTCTGTATTCCTTGTCACAATAGATGCACTTATTCATTATTTACTTTGCTAATGTGTGTAACATTTTTTTGTCGTAATATTTTGCTCTAAACATTTTATTTTTAATAGCTTAATTTAATATCTATTAGACAATATGCAAGAACAAATACAGAAAATTTAATCAAATGAAAAATATTTTCTCTATTTAAATTGCAAAAATTCTTGTTTCATATTTTATATTTTATTGTTTATTATAGCTTTGAATTAGATAAACATGATTAAATTTGATGAATTAGACAAGAATTGTTTCTTGCTAGAGATTTTTATATAAAATTTCGAGTGGACATTAGACATGGTTGTAGCAAATTTTATTTTGCAATATCAATGAATAAGTACCTGAGAGGACTGAGTGGGATTAGTTCGCGCAGGTACTCCAAGTTCATCAATATTCATATCACTTTCTTAATTTATCTAAGTCTGCTCAATTAAAGAAAGAAAAAACAAAACAAAAAAAAAAAAAAAAGAAAAGAGATAACAATTTTTCTATAAAAACGGTTTGTGCATACCATTCATGTTATGTTATACAAAATGAATAGTGAAAGTCAAAGGCTTGAAAAATTGAATTGCTTTTGCATAATGATATGTGATATATTGATTTATTTTTTTCAGGTTATTAATAAATGAATTTATAATTAAAGAAATTAATTTAATAGAGCAGCTCACCTATATGAAATCAAAACAATTATAATAATATAAAGTTTGTGAGCCTTAAAAAATACGAAGTTGGGGAGGAAATGAAAATATGCTGAAATACCTTAATGGAAGTTATTTTTTTTTGACACGCCATCCTTCGAATGATTTTCTTCATGAGATGGTGTATATTGCAATATTAATAGCGATAGAAAATAATTTATAGGATCAATTATTTATAGGAAAATTATTATTAGATTGTTTTTAAATATTTTCGAAATATTAATTTTTTAATTTATCAATCATATTGATTAAAAAAAGAAATTACAAATTCCGCGCCATTCTTAAAAAAAAAGTAAAAAATATATATATATAAAAAATTAATGATTATTTAATCATAATTTAATCATAATATACAATCAATACAAATTTCGTGTTCACACAATTTCTTTTAAGATCGGACGGATTACCCTGCGCGATGCTTGATGATCGGTCTGCGTAGATTCAATTAATTAACATTATTTGCACCAACCATCTAATTAATCTCAAAGAAATGTAGTTTGAAATATTGTGAGTTAATTATCATTCATGATTCTAGTAATAAATGTAAAAGATACGGAGAAAGAGTGAGAGAGAGCGAAAGATAATAAGTAAATAATACTTTATTACTAAATATATATATATTATATATATGAGTGCGGTACTTGCCACGATATGCATACCACACAAAGCAGTTTAGTTTAAACTTTAATGGAACAATAAGATATAATAATTAATTAATGATGAAATAATTATCGAAATATATATAATTTTTTATCGATGTCAAAAATTAATTAGGAGAAAAAAAGAAAAAAATGAACTTAGCGAGCGGACGGAAATAAGTACGTCATGAGCACGCATGTATGTGAGAAATTGAACGAGAGTAATAAAGCGCGCGCGTGATATATATATATTAAAAATACTAAATTCAAACTTAATGAGAATTTATGATGTGATGCTTTATCGATTTAACTGCGGGAAAGTGACCTTTATTCAAGTAAAATACATGTGGGGCGTTTCTGGCTACAAAACAAATGATTAAAAATGAGAAATGAAATAAAAATAAAAAAATATGTGAATTTTACTTAATGTTATGTTCAATAGGATTGCGGGGGCGGGCGTAATTTAGCGTCATGTCGGAAATTTCGAAATGCTTGCATTGTATGCTTATATTGCGAATAATTCTGACGGATTAAACAATAAGAAATGAAAAAAATAAAAAAAAAAAAATATAAAAAAAAACGAATGAAACGAATGAACGAATGAAAATATGGAAAAAACTGTGTAACAAGATTCAATTTTACATAAATATATTTAGGACCCTGAATGTAACAGCATCCTGTATACAATCTTCAGAAAATTGTATTTATCAATCAATAACTAAATGTATTCCCATTGAAATATTTACACTTCCGATGATACACATTGCCAGTTTATTGTCTTAAAATAGTTTACACTCATCGGCTTTCCGACATTATCCGTCCCCGAAAAATACAAATGTAGCATTGTGTACTACATATATGAATCTACTAAGAATCTATTAAGAATATACAATTGAAAATATAACAATGAATACACAATTAGAAGTAGAATAATTTCTTAATTAGTAGTACTGTGCATTTTTAACAATATGAGCACAGGAATGATAATTTTCAATTTTCAATGATGATTATAAATCCAAGGACCATGTTCGTTTGCAGTATCTATGTATTAGCAAGTAAAATGGTCTCCGGATCAAGTACACAATAAGCAATTATGAAGGAGATACCATACGTGTACTTTGAAATTTATATATAGGAGAAAAAACTGCATAGGAATACAATTGCCAGCGTTACGGCCCGAAACGTCGTACCGCCGAATAAAATATGAATTATCTTAAATGGTTTTACGTGTATTAAAGCGATTGTAAATATATATATTAGATACACCTTATAATAAACGTAATTTAACATAAAAAATACTGTTGAATGTTTTCTATATTATATTTAAGAAAAAAGGAATACTAAATATAATTAAATACTAAATTTAATTTTATTGAAAGTACATATTAAACTATTCAATCAGTCTAATGTAACCTTGACTTTCACTTTCGTCTGCTGGGCGAACACGTGGTCTCGTTTGACAGATTATATATTCTTTGTTTCGATAGATGGCGACCCTGTTTTTCCATCATCGACCATTCTCTCAACAGTTGCATTTCCGTTAAAGATGGCAGTGTCCATAGATATTAATGTTACGAAATAATTTTGGAATATTTATGGCATTACAATCGTGTTTTTTATAGATTTATAAAGTATTTCGAAGTGTGTATTTATTAACGTGATAATTAATTGATAAAATCTTTATGGATATCCGTGATCAGTTACGATATATTTTTAGTGCATCTAACTTGTTGCAACTGTGTTGTAACCTTCCCACGTGCACGTTTTAATTATATTTTATTTTTTCTTTTTCGACAAATAAATTGATACGATGGCAGATACATTACATAAAGATGGATATGAGATATGTGAGTGAAGAATTGAATTTTATATTTTTAGCTTTATAAATTTATATTTTTATGATCTTATCTCTTTTTCTTATATTATAATTTATGTATTTAATGTTTTATAACTTGAAATGAAAATAACTCATTTTTATTATTTATACTGTATATAAAATATTAGAGTATTGCAAATTATATTTTATGTATTTTATAAAAATAGCAAATTTAGCAATGCGTAGTGGAGGTGGTAATATAGGAGGAGATAATGATATGAAACTTGAACCATCTAGTCCAACAGAAAAATATACATTTTCTCGCTGTAGTAGTACTGGCTCGGTAAATACACCATCTTCATCTGCTCATAATACTGGTAAGAAATTTTAATAAATACAGTAAATGTATTTTGTAATTATATTAAGCTTGAAATAATAATAATAATATGTAACACAATAATAATAATAATATTTACAAATTAAATTTGTAAAATTGATTATAGAGGATGAAGATAGTGATAATAAAAATTCAACTATAAGTTATAAAGAACGTAGGAGAGAGGCTCATACTCAAGCAGAACAAAAACGAAGAGATGCTATCAAAAAGGGATATGATTCTTTACAAGATTTGGTTCCTACTTGTCAACATACTGACTCTTCAGGTTATAAACTTTCTAAGGCTACTGTACTTCAAAAATCTATTGATTATATTCAATTTTTATTGCAACAAAAGAAAAAACAAGAAGAAGAACGTAATGCATTAAGAAAAGAAGTTGTTGCTTTACGCATTATGCAAGCTAATTATGAGCAGATTGTGAAAGCTCACCAAACTCAACCAGGACATGCAGAAATGCGTGTATCTGATGAAACCAAATTTCAAGTGGTAAGATAAAGTGTGTTGTATAATTATTTTAAAAAATTAATATTTTAAAATAATGAATTTTGAAAATATTTAATAAAATATTTATTATTATAGTTTCAGACAATTATGGATCGTTTGTTCCAAACATTTAATAATATTTCAGTAGCAAATTTTGCAGAATTATCAGGATGTGTATTTAGTTGGTTGGAAGAACATTGTAAACCTCAAGTAACTAAATTATTTTTTAAAATATATCTTCAAAATCAAATATAGAATTAAATAAATATATTTTAAATATTGCAGACTTTACGTGAAGTAGTATTGTCAGTACTACAGCAACTTAATAGCCAAATCAGCTAGTCAAATATATTACTAGACGATTGTGATTGCACAATAATACATTTATAAAATCTATTCGCAGGTACTTAGACCAATTATTAAGTAGAGTTACCAAAAAGGATGGGAGTATGTGTGTTATATGCAATATGGATGACATAATGATTGTACAAGAAATATAAATAGAAATTTATTTTATATACTAATGTTATAGATACAGCCATATAATATGGCATGTCGTTTTTTGGTGACCAAACAATGTTAAATATTTTTAACAGAGATTTTTTATTATATGAAATTTACTGCATATATATAATATATAATGTATGTATATACATATATGAATGTATTTAAATATGTACATAATACATTAATCCGTAACATAGTAATTTGAAATAAAAATCTTTATACTTTATATTTACAATCATTAATAATGAAAGACTTTCTTTAATGTTTCTTAATTCATGTTTAATTAATTCCTAATATTACCATATCATGTTTAAAATTTTTGGTTTTTGATATTAATTTCATTTTGTTTTTTATTTATTAAACTTTCTCAGATTCAGTAGGCATACTTTCTCCTTGTGTAATATCGTTTAAAAGTATTGCATCCAATCTGGGTCTGTTAGGATCATCGGGTTCATGGTGAGGACTTTGAGGTCGTCTTCTTTTTGATCTATCCTCTCTACAACACAGATCACGGAAGATACAGGCGTAGCAGGCCAACAATGCGCTCATCATTATTATACCACCAATTGCAAGGAACACTACTAAAAATATTGATATTTCGTCCCCCATGTTATATTTTTGATGGTTTTGTTTATTAATGTTCACATCATCTGTAACAAAAATTTATTCAAATCAATTAATTTTTACGAAAGAAGAAACTTAATTTTAAATTTAATAATAATTATTTGAAAAAAGCATATGTAAATTTAAAATTTATTTATACTTATTTAATTTTTAATTTGTATATATTTGAATAAATAAGTTAAAAATTTAATAATTTAAATCCTTATTAAGAATTTATTATTAATTTTCAATGAAAATAAAATATTTTAAATTTTAAACACATATTTTTTGGAGAAAATATACACTTGAATAGAATAATTACTTTTTATTCTCTAATAATTTTTATTATTGTTCAATTTAGAATTTAATTCTTTCAGAAAAAATTGAAATTTTATTAAAATATATTATTTTGTATACAATATAATAATTAGTGATGTATTTCTTAATTATTTTATATAATTATTTTATATCTTTAATTATTAATTTAAAATTTATTTAAAAAAACAGAATTCAAATTTTTGAACTATTTTAAATTTTGAGTTATAAGAGAAAAATAAATTCTATTCTCATTCTATTCTTCTTTTTCAGAAAGAAAGAATAAAGTAACGAATAATTATAAATACGAAATTGATATAGAAGTGATTTTATTCTTATTTTAAAAAATTCTACTATTCTTAAACGTTTTTAGACATGAAACAAAAGGATCAAAGGATTCACTCATTCTTTAATTCAATTTATTCCTTGGTAGTCATCTATATGCGAAAAATTGAAGAAATTTCTTCTTGATCTGAGTGTCTTTCTTATGAAACAAAATCAATCGAAAGACAATCAGTATATACTATATTCTTAAAAAGCTTTTGTTATTTTCTAATTCTAATTTTTTCTAAAGCAACAATTTTATAACAAAACTTTTGTTACTATTAATTTTCAATGTTATGTTATTGTTATTAAAAATTTGTTACTTTTATAAAAGAATAAAAGATATAGCAATGAATTTATATAATAGAAATCTTTAATATCGTAATGTTGCTAATTTTAAAACTTTTTAATCAACTCTTCTCTATAGAAACTTTCTTAGTTATTGGATTGAAGCAAAATTATTTTTTTTTATTTAAAAATTAGTTTTTGATTTTAAAACAACAAATAATTTTAAATGAATTATATATCATTCTTTATGATAAGTTAACTTTTATGAGAATGATATTTTATGTTTACAAAATTCTATTTTTGTTTAAATATAGAAATTCATATAGATTGAATAATTATAACACTTGTATATATAATATTTCTATATTCAGGATATATTCGATATATTACAATAAATTGATTTAATTTGTCTCTCATAAAGTCAATAATATTATAATTAATATTATAATAATTAATGATTAATTTTTGCAATTTGTGAAATTATTTTGCAGAAATTAAAATATATGTTTTATCTTTATTTCAGCACAATTTCTTAGAGAATAATATTTTGCTTTTGTATTGAATTTTTTTATTTTTATTTTTTTTTTGTTATATTATTAATAAATGATTTATGTTATTTATTTAAGAAAAATAGATCACGCCTATTTTATATTATATATAAGTTTATATTTGTTCTTTATATTTAATTTAACGAAAATCTACACAAAATTTATAATAATTTGAGATAAAATACTAACAATTAAAATATTTCCTTAAACAAATACTATTTGAAAATTCTATTTAATCAAATTTAAAAATACTATTATAATTGAATATAATTTAAAAATATTATTTTATTTTATACTTAGATCAAATACTATTTATAATTCGAAAATAAAAAATAATGAATCGAAAATGAAAGATAGAAATTTCAATATAGATATTAAAAATGTTTAATTCGTATATAAATTATATGCAATAGTGTGACTTCAATATCGTATTATAAAATATTAAATGTAAAAAAACTGTTTATTTCAAACTTTATTATTACAAACTATACTATTAAAATATTTGAAATACCTATTTTTTTAGACTTCAATAAAATATTTAGTCAATCTTTATGAATTGTTTTTATTATATTTAATAGTATTAAAATATATAATATATATTTTAAATACTATGTTCTTATATAAATGTTATTTTATATCTTATAAATGTTAGAAATGTCTCTATATAAATGTTAGAAAATTTATTTATAAAATTCTGTATCACACACATATTTAAAGAAATAAAAATATTTATTTCTATTTATTTCAAATTTTTTTATTAGGTTTGATCTTTTGATTGAATTTTAAATCAAATAAAAATTTCTTAAATATCTTTAATATTAAGAATGAAATATTTTACATTCATTTTTATAGTTTAAATATTAATCATATGTTAATCAATCTTTTTCATTCTATTATTTCGAAATTTCATCGTGAAAGTTAATTTTATTTCGTTTTAAAGTTTTTGTCGACTTTCTATCGACTTTTTTACAAAATTTCTTAATTTAATACTGAAGAAAACTTTATCATTGAAACTTTGGATAAACTTTAATACGAGCAGCTAATACATCATTCAAAATAACTAAAACATTATATTTTAGTATTCGTTTCAAAATTGATTATTTAGTAGAATTTATTTAGGAGCAAATTACGCGTTTTATTTATAATTTAATATTTTAAATTATAATATTTTAAATTTATGTATTTTTAAATATAAATTTAATCATGTTAGTTACGCTATCAATCAATCAAATCTGCATTTTAAAATTGATAAAATTTGAAATAATTTAAGAGTAAATATTAAAAGCTGAAATATTTTCATAAATGAATAGTATTTAAAAATATCATATTTCTAATTTAAGTTAAATAATATAAAAATATTAATTCATTTCATAATTAAATCAAATACTATTTGAAAGCACTATCATTTAAAAGAATAAAAATATTTATCTATTTCATTTCTCATTCTCTTCTTGTTGTAATCTAATGCCAATTTTCGTCAATTAATTTTGTAGGATTTAATTGAAAATCAAAGAAGTAATATTAATTAAGGATTTTTGCAAATAAATTTTATTTAAAATAATATTTAAATAAAAAAAATAGTATTTTGAATATATATTTTTATAGTTATTTATACAAATAATATTTTGAAATAAATGTCTGAAATAAATATATTTTAATATAAAAAATGCTATTCTAAATATTATAAATTGTTAATAATATTGTTAGAAAATATTTTTAAAAAAATTTTTTATTTTTTAGAAATTTCAATAATATCGATAATTTTTTTTATATGTATCAAAATATAAAATGCATAATGCATTTCTTTTCGTATAATAAAATTATAATGTATATATAAATATATATAAATATATATACATTCCATCTTTATGAAAAAATTTTATTAAACTTATATTAAGATTCTAAATACAACAATAATATTATCTAATACACAGAATTTATTTGTATATTAATTTTAAAACTTTTGATCATATAACAAATATACAATAGAACTTCTATTATTGCCTTATTTAAAAATTCTACTTTACTTTCTACATTCTACATGTTCGGTTCTGAATTATCTTTATTATTATGTAAGCATAATATATAGCATAATATAAACAAATGTTTTTCATTACTAGCAATGAAAATGACAATTTAATTTGAAATTAATATTAGACAATGTTCATACGATACACATATAATGTGATAAGATTGTGAATAAATAATATTAATTACTAAAACAAAATCAATAATATTTAAGAAATTAGAAGACAACGTTATAAAATTGGCAAATATATAATATAATATTAGGAAATTCATTATCTCTAGCTTGAAAAAAACAAGAGAGAAAATTGAAAATTATTTATGAAATGCACATCAGAAAATAGAATAAAATTAAAGCTGTAAAATATAAACATTATTGTGTCACCACAGTAAAGAGATTTTAATTATAAATTGAATAAATAGAGAGATCTTAATTTGAAGTATACTGAAATCTAATAATATCCAAACTAATAGAGAGACATGATTCTTTGGAAGTTTCGTATAAAAAAATTATAATGAATCTTTTTTTAATTATTTATGAGTTCCATTTCTCCTTTACTACTAAATCATATAAACTTTTTAATATATTGAATATTGATTATAATCTATTTGTTTCTCAAAATATATTAATACTTTTTCTAATAAAAATTTTTAAATATGAATATCTTCATAATTTATTTTTTTTTATTGCAATCTTTTTATTTAATATAACAATTTAAATTAGTATTAATATAGTGAAATAGTAAAATATAATGTTTGAATAATAAAATATTAGAATAGTAAAAAGTCTATATTAGAACGAATAATAAAAGTTTCACTGTACCTAAATAAACATATTATTTTTTTCAAAATATAAAATAATTTTTTTTAAAAAACTTTATTCCATTATTAAAAATTTTTTCTTTAAATTTATCTTTATTAATTCTGATAATGAAGATGTACTTCGAGTGTTTTAAAAGATTAAGATTCTAAAATAAAGAAAACATAGATCTGAATTGATATAAATTATAATTGGAAGACTCAATGAAAAAGTTACTCAAGAAAAAGTATTTAATTTCATTCAAATTCATCATATATTAGAAAGTATATTTAATGAGACAACTATTTTGACATTTCTGCTATTATGAATATGATTATGTCGGAAATTAATTGATCGCAATGTATTCATCTAAAAATTCATATACAAGAGAATGTATTGTTTGTGTTCAGTAATTACATAGATTTAATATACTTTTGTCGATAATGGTTAATATAATCTTCAATGAAAATCGTTTTAGTCTCTTGTCAAACTATTATAGATTATTATAGATTATCTTATTTTTTAATCAACAATCAATATACATTATTATATTGTTACGATGCTAATATGGAACATCATGGTCATTGCGAACCGCGGCACAGGAAATGACAATATTGGTTGTCATTAATATTGAAGATATCGATTAAACGATAGTCGTTTTCCGCAATATCAATTTTAATATTAAATATGTTTAATTATAAAACAGGAAAAATTTGAAATAATTTAAGACAAAAGAAAAAATATTATA